GAAGCTTTTCGCCAGACACTATTCATAGCAGAACGGTTTGGAAAATGATCTATAGGAAATAGTAGTTATCAACGCTATTTTCAAGTTTTGAACAACTCGACTTTCAAGATCTACATATCTACATGTGCTGATGTTTCCGTTTATCAACGTTATATTTTAAGATCTGTCCAATAACTCAGCTAACAGATATTTCCGCATATAAAAGCTATCTTCAAATAATATATATGTATGCATATATTTTTTCATACAGAAATAGAGCAGAAAGAATAAAAAAGGGGGAGATTGATGAAAGTGACTTAGATGCATCCTCTAAACAGACAGCCCAAGATTTTGAAGATGCTGCAACTGAAGAACTTCATAAATTTCAAGTAGCTTCTAGAGTTACAGGTGTGTTGTAAAGCATATCTCTTTTGTAAAGCTTTTCATGACTTCAGTTTTGATCTGTACAGCTGTGTTATAATGTGTAACTCATGCCTAAGACTTCTCATTATTTTAGTTTTTACTTGTATGATTTGACATAGTGTAGTTGTTATCTAAGAGCTCTCACAACTTTAGTTTTACCTATACAGTTTTGTAATAATGTGCACCTTATATATAAGACTTCCAACTAGGTATAGAGTAGATTTAGTTGTACAAGCATGTAATAATGTATGTTTTTTATCTATCACTGCTCAGGTGGGGTGGACCTCCCCCACATGTGCAAAAAAAAATCAATTTTTTTTCCTTATAATTATAATATTGCATGCAGAATATAGAATAAACATCAAAAAGTCATATAATGACCTCTCTGTAGGTCTGTTGGTGTGCCAAGTGAGAAAGGAGTGTGTGTGTGTGAGAGGGGGGGGGGCAGGTGATATTTAAGGGTCACTGGTACAACCAAATATCAGCTGGGATTTCAAAGGTTGCTGGGAAAACTAAAACATCATATGATGTGTGGAGCAGTGAAAAGGTTAATTGTACCTGTACAGGACTGTAACAATGTTTAGCTTATAAAACACTGCTTATGGCGTCAAACTTGGTTCATCCATATTACAAAGCTCATAAAGGTCACAGAAAATCTTGAAAGCTCAGGAAATTTTAATTAAAAATCCAAGTGTGGAAAAAATCAGTTGGTACAATAAATATTTTGTAGGGTTGGTATATTATAAATATTATACTGTTGTAGAGTAATAATTGGACAATTGTACCGATAAACATGGTTACATCATTCATTCATTTAACAGTAGGGGGCCTTCATAAGTAAGAACATGAATACTAATACACTGCTGTCCAATAAAACATCACCACCTCTGGTAATAGTATTTTATCAAATACACAAAGAAAATATGATTTCATAATGTAATATATGATGTAACTATTGTGTACACGGACTTCATACACAACTTTTTATGTTTATAATTCTTCCAACACTTCTTGACTCGTAGTATTTGCTTTGGAGGTTTTGAATCAACATCAGTACTGTTGGTGTTATGCAGGTCTTATTTCATTGCAAAACAGTGTGATATGAAAATGTAAAAAAATAATGATTATCGATATTGTCAGTTGTTACTTTAATGATATATAGTATATACTGTTATACACATTTTTTAGAACATTATGCATTTCCAATGCAATTTTTAAAATATGATACCTCTGAACATATCTAAGCAATACAAGTTGAGGAGGGGTTGAAATACAGAGGTCAAAGGCCAAGAAACTTATGTGAGCATAATGAGGCAAAATGATATAGTAGTGTAAATGTGATGTGACAAGTGGATTTGAGCTATTTAAAAAGCATTTTGGGTGTAGGATTGTTTTATTATTTTACATGCCCTATATATAATGGTGTTCAGAGTGACATGTATGATAACTCCAGAGGTATTTCCAGAGGAAATGAAATTCATTTAATTCATTAAATGAACACTGTAACAATAATAAATCAGAACCAAATATAGGAAAACACTTCCTAATTTGCCCAAATCCACCTCTTGTATATACAATATCATATCATTTTGCCTTATTATAATCACAAAGGTTTCTTGACCTTTGATCTCCATATTTCAACCCCTCCTTTACTTGTATTGCATAGATATTTTGGTATATCAGAAAGCACTATATGAAGATATATTTCTGTTAAACACTGGTTTGAGCACTTAAAACTGTAGATTTAGTAATGTGGTAAATTTAGGAAAATTTTGGAATTTTTTTCTTCTTTAAATAGTAAAACCAGATTTTTGTTTTTATTTTCATTAATAATGTTGTAAAAAGTCAAAATATTCAAATACAATCATAATCAACATTTTCATATAGCCAGAATGACTATAATAATCTGATTTGCATATGGAAATATTTTGGTGTATAACATTATCCTATTTTGACTAACTGTAAACATCTTTTATCTTGTTTCTATTGGCCCAATCAACCTGAAACTGGTGCAAAAAAATCTTTTTTTGTATGAATTTCAATGAGATACTTCTTAACTACTAATTCTGATACAATCCTCCTTTAATATCATGAGGCAGGAAAGTGTATAAATGTCATACAGTCTGTATATACTATTATGTATGTATAGTATACTCTGTTAACATGTAACACATTGTGCTTATTTCTCATTCTGATATGGTACATTACCTCCACTAACATAAATAGCTATTTTCGTTCAGTTCTTCCCTCTATATTCAAAACAATTTTCACATGCCACAAGCAATGAGCTCCCATGTACCTTACGATCAAATGGTTCAACTGGGTCACACATGTAAATCATCATGCGACACACTCTCCAAATTCTAAGTTACCATTTTGGAGGTTATATGTCCTATTAGCACATTTACACAGGCTTCAGGTGGCAATACTCCACTGGGGAATTATTAGCTTTACTTTGTTGGGAAATTGATCGTCCAATGAACTGACCTTTGTTGGGCCTTCGACTCAAGTTTGGGGCCCACACATTTTGAAATATAGTCCACCGACTTTGGAAAAATAAGACTTAATACTGTTATGGCTTTTGAATATTTTTATTGTTAATATTATTTTCTGTAGTTATTTGGGTTCCATAACATAAGTTTCGTTAGATTGGTCAGTACTCAAATTCAGGTTCAACATTAGGCTTAACATGTGTCTTTGTTATTTTAGGATTACCTGTAATTCATGTTACTGGTATATTGATCATTAGGTTAACTATATTGTTTTTCTTCGATACATATGTTATTGTTAATACACACTTACTTAATTTTACAATATAATGTCTCTTTTATTTTTGCTATTATTTATCTTTAGTACTTCTTCATATTAACTTGATTTGTGTGGAACCCTGCAGCCAGGATCTGCACTAACTTCTTCTCATGATATTGTACATACTTATTATTAGGTTAGGGTTTTTAATTTAGAGCTTAGTGATATACTTTGTCTTGCACTGTTGGATTAGGCTTAACAAGTGTGTGTTATTTTCAGTTTACCTGTAGTTCTACTTGTGGATAAATCGATAATTTGGTAAAATATCTTTTCTTCAACACATAACATTTAATACATATGTTTATTTGACCACACAATTTTTTAACATTTACAATATATCAACTATTTCATTTTTGTCATTCTTTATAATTTATACTTCTTACCATTAATTTCGTTTGTGAGGGCCCATTGGGGCCAGGGTCCACCCTACCTTCTACTAATATTACTCATCTTCCCCCTACAATGGCCAAACTCATTTCAGACAACCTAGATTTTGTTAGTTTTCCTCCACTTGATCCTGGCTAGCCTTCCCAGGCCTCTGCTGTAGAATCTGCTAGGCCTACCTCTGGGTCAAGTCTTTCTGATTGATCCTGGTTGGCACAGCTCTGGTTTTCTTGGCTGTTTCAGCTCAATATGTTCTTTTTTTTAAATTGATTTTACTAACCTACACTTTGGAGACTCATGTGGAATCTTTTCAACTTTTTTGTTTCTTGCCATCTTCCACTTTTCTTCTTGGTCAGATCCAGATAACCTTTGTCCAGTACATACTGTGGGTTGCTTTATTGCTTTTAAGGCTTCTTTCCGTTGAATCCATTTCCCATGGTTTTATTCCTTTACACCACTCCTATGTCTGTGATTTTTCCCCCTTCCTGTCGTACTCATTGGGTTTGGATTGTGATTCAATTGGCCTTTTATTCTTTGTCTCCTTCTTCCTGTAATCAATTCCTCGTGTCTTTACTCTGATCAGGCACCTTCCCTGTTGTCCATTGGAGGTACTTTGTCTGTTGAGCACTGGGACTACACCTCATACATTCATCTCCCATTATCTGCTTTATGTAGCTGTTTGTTCCTTGTTGGGGTACCATTGCCCACCTGTCACCATCCTTCATTCTTTGGTGAGACTGTAACTAGGTAGGTTTTCTTTCTTTTGTTGTATATCTCATTTTTCAGGGGCCCGTCTAATATTTTGACCAAGATCCAACTCTGTGGCGGTTGGTACCTGTCCAGGTATACTTCAATCACTTAAAATTATACTAAAACCAGCACTGTAAGGCCATGTTGACTTCATTTTCATAATTTCCATGGCCACAAAATGCATGCTATTCATTACAGTGACAAAAAATTAGAGATGGACTATTCCTCAAGATCACTCAGGTTATTCCTCACAACATATTTGCTTCATACGTATGCTTGTTCCAGAACATACTAACTAATAGGTAAAGCAGAAGGGGTTATCTGCCCATCTCTGTTTTCCTTCTATTGAATAAATCAGGTTTGGTCTGCTTTTCTATATAGGGTTTTGTGGTCACCCATTGCACTGTTTCCAGTGAGGATGTTTCTCCAGACTCTCCACTGCAATTTCATTTTCTCCCCCCTTTTTCTTCCAATGGAGTATGGGAGTCCTTACCACTTTCCAGTTCCAAGCCACTGGGAAGGTGGATCGTGGAGGCATCCTCCTGAATGTTATAGTGATATAAACAATGATGAATCCATTCAGTTGAAAGTAGGGCAGTGGTGTTCTGCTGGTGTTGATGATGATATGTCATCCAATCTGATGCTCCATATCTGTATGTGTCTATCTGAGGGGATGTTGTAGCTTTGGAGTGAGCAATCAAAATTGCAGTTCACCCCCTTCGATTGGGATCCATCATCCTACCCCTGCATGGATGTAGGTTCCTAGTGGCTGGATCTTGGATTCAGAGCTGAACCAATCAACATAAGTCCTCACACATATATTACACTCAATTGTTCACTCCACCTATGTTGTGGATCATGGTGGTGGTACTTTCACATGAATACAATTCTTCCTCTTGCGCTATCCCTAGATGTTTTTCATATTCCAAGGATGTTATTGTGCTGGGGGGTGGTTCCTGGTTGTTTTTTTTTTTTTTGAGTGAGTTAGTTTACTTTACAGAGACATCTTCATTATGATGATCATCCGGATGTCGGGTTCCCAG